TCGAAATGACTCCGCCATCACCGAGTCAAGGCATGAAGGCGATTATTATGAGTCCACCTCATGCAAGCCCATCCATCAGAACTTCCAAATGCCTGGCTCGCGAGCTTCCGGAAATGATCGAGTTCATTGGACTCGACGATTATCACAATTCGCTGCTTAAACTCCAGTTTTGCCAATATCAAAAAACTCCGCTCGCTGAGGAATCAACGGTTCGACCTTTCAGTGTAGTAGCCCAAGTGGAGGGAGAATTGGATGTTCAGACGATCGCGCACCTGGCCCAATCCGCCGATCAACGCCTGGATTGGAGTCTTCGGACTTCGTTGCAGGCACAAGTTATGCGAAGCAAATGGAGCCGGTAATCTCGCTATCTCTTTGTGGAGATCAGATCAGACTTATTGTAGTACCTCCCGCAGGATACGTGCTCATGAACTATACGGCTCCCACACTGCCGCGGGAACTCAGGAATATTTCCAGCTTTGGGTCTGCTACAGCGCAGCACAAGACTCAAGTATCACTCAGGCTGCATATTTGACTCAAGTAAACTATGTCCTGTCTTGCGTCGGCAACAATCGTGATCCCCAGGCATATTGTAAGTCAAACGAAATCTTGGGCCCATCCTTTCTCATTGCACAATTTGCCACAGCCTTCGTTGCTTCGGTCGAAGCTCACATTAAACGTACGTATAATGCGTGCCGCTGTCCAGACGCCTACCTCTTCCTGCCCCCGCAATCCGCATTCTTGACATCGGATCGCACTCGAATCCAGTACCCGAGTTTGACGCCATTCTGGTCGCGGGATCCCGGCGGCGGAGAACGACTCTCAGAGGAAGAAGCTGTTTATCTCGGTCTCCCAACTATCGAGATTGAAATTGAAGTGAAACATGCGTTACTATGCGACGGAGTTCACGAAGCTCTTTGTGAATTCTATCAAGGCAAAGGATTTGATCCTGACAGTGCACAAATCGCAAAGCAGCTAAATCTACCGATGATGCACTTCCCAGACGAGGCAGATCCCTATCCTCTCAGACTATGTTGTAGGTTTCGCCTCTTTTTATTCGATTTCCAATGATCTAACTCATCTCATTCAGGGAGGAATCGATACCATTGGCTCGACCATCTGGGTGATCCCTATAAGCCTCTCCCGCGGCGTCTCCCGTCAGAACCTGAGGTTGATTAACAATAGGACCTGGGAAGATTTGTCTGCGATCCTGGAATTCTTCGTTCGCAACTTCTCTGCTTATATATTTCAATCCTTATTCTTGACTTGTCCTGGGCTGACTTTCCGCCAACAAAATATACATCTATTGAATTCCCAGAGTGGTCTTGTTATTGGGTCAATATGCGACGTAGAGCCTTGAAAACTTTTGCTCCGAAAATGATTGATTATTGTTTAGGCACAAATACCGTCACGCACAGCAGTGAAATGATTTTGTTTTTGCGAGTTTGAGAAATCCTTGACAAGCTGGGTATGGAATATTAAAAGAGAGATTTGCCAACGCCAAGCTGACTTGGTGAAAGTGCGCGACGAGACCGACCTACGCGTAACGCGATCGATCATAGTCATGTGACCGCGATACTCCGTTCAATTTGGAGCCAGACTTGTTGAAAAGCGGCAAAACTCAGCATCCATGGGACTGGCCTCCTGTCATTGTAATCCTACGTAGGCTACATCTTCGAATCCGGATTTTTCAACTGGCACTGCTAAGTTGAACGTCACTAATCGTACAAGAATTTGTAAGTAATAGATATTCGACGTCGGGCTTCGAGACACTGCAGAAAAATTCAACAAGGCATGTGCATTGTGCATAGTGGTACGGCTATAGCCATGGTATTCCGAAGTGAGCGGAAGCAGGGATAAGATGAATATGGACGCCGGAATTCGATAGTACTTCAAGTTATTCATTCATTCATTTGTTCTTGGGAACGACGCTGACTGCAGACATAGTACAATCTCAACAATGAACATAGGTATAATCAACAATAAACGAAATAAAAGGAGGATAGACTCCGGTGCGAAAACAACAAGAAAAACGAATACTCCCGACACAACGCAGAATCACAGCTTCCTCCTCTTCTGCACATACAAAAACGCCACCAGAATCTCATCCACCAACGCATCACCGAACTCCTCGCTGAGCTCCAACGACGCGTCCTTCGCTTCGCCGACGACGCCGAGTGATTTGGCGTGGAAGTTCGCTACGACGGTGCTTGGTTCGTTCTGCAATTCCATCTGAATTGTGATGGTTCGAGTGAGTATGAATGAATGGGTACGACGACGAATTTATGCCGGTGCAGAGAAGGATGGGGAGGAGGAAGAAGCAAGGCTCACAGTGGTCCCGAACGGCTTGTACCTGCAGCGGAATTCGTGTTCGGTGGAGGAGGTATAGCCTAGTTCGCTGCAAACTCATTCGTCAATGGGGTGAACCACAACTTACAAGGGAAGCGGGGAAGGAAAGGTATGTAGGACGAAGAAAGATTTAGGAAAGACTTACGGCCCAAACAACCCAAACCCAACCGACCGAAACCGGTCCTCGCTGCTAAACTCCGCATCCCCAATGCGGATAGTCGTGGGCCCGACGACCTTCCACAGGATTTGCGCGAGGAAGCCGAAGCGCGCCTGAGGCGATTCGGAATCCGCGTCACGTTCTAGATCTTTCAAGTTTTGCCCCGATGACGATTGAGAAGGCGGGGACATGACACGGTGCGGGACGTCGTCTGCTAGGCGGCGCGTAACAGTCGTGACCGTATCGTGCACTTTCATCTCGGTGTGTACTCTGTACAGCGCGCGGCCGGAGGAGGCCTCAAGGTACGTCGCGTTGAGGGGGTTTTGCGGGGTTATTGTGAGGTGCATCCGAGTACTGTCGCAGCGAGTCAGAGTAGAGTCAGAGTAAAAGTAGAGGAGAGGAGAGTGGGCGGCTGCGGATTTCGATCGCGTGGGGAACGGGCGATTGAAGATTCTGGCTGGCAGGAATTTATGTACCTACGTACCTGTTGACATTCTCCGCAGCTGCGCGAACGATTCGACCAGTAGGAGAATGAGTCGAGATTCTTATCCTTCCACAGTATGTACATAACTAGGAGGGAATCAGGCTGCGGCTTCGCGATACGCCGGGAGCAATATTCCGGGGAATACGAGTCTGTTCAAAATAGAATCGCCGTCGTATTCACTATTCACAACATAGCGCAGGATCCGATTGAGCGCTGGTGCTGAGGATTAAGTAACATGAGATGAGGCGTTAAGTTCGAGTGATCGAGGAGGGAAGAAGTGGAGCGAAGTGAATTATGGCTTGCTTAGTTCATACGAGGATAGGTATTCTGAATGCCAACGCTCAATGATTCTGGGTCTGAACAAAAGAAAATCGAAATTACATGTCACAAACCCGTCAATATCGATGCGTCGCACCTACTCATTTCCCCAGCGACGCCTTATACGCCCGCACACTCTCCAACAGCCCCACATCCTCCCTCAACCCCAACTCCCTTGCCCTCCCCACATCAAACCTCTCCGGCCAACCCAAACAAATCCTCTCCGTCCCCTCATCCACCTCCTCCACCACCAACCCCCTCGCCTCTGCCCCACCCACCTCCTCCAACACATCCAGCATCTCCTTCACCCCCACCGTGATCCCCGGAAGATTCACCGCGCGGCTCATATACTTCTGAAACCTCTCCTCCGGGATGTCTTTAAGTAGGATGAGGTTGCGCACGACCGTGCCCGGGGAGCAGAGCCACACGTCCAACCCCTTATCGACGGGGAGAACGGCTTTCTCGCCGTTCAGAGGTTCGCGGAGGATGCCGCTCATCCAGCTGGAGGCGGCGCCGGTGGGGGCGCCCGCGCGGACGACGACGGAGGGGAGGCGCGCGATGCGCGCGTCGAGGATGCCGCGGCGGGTGTAGTCGGTGAGGAGCGCCTCGATCATGAGTTTTTGAGTGCCGTAGGAGGTCTGCGGGAGCGGGAGGGTGTGTTCGGTGAAGGTGCGGGTGGGGCCGGCGGTGGAGGGGGGGCCGTAGATCGCGCAGGAGGAGGTGAAGATGACTTTCACCGGAGGGGAGGAGGGGTGGAGGCGGAGGAAGTCGTAGATGTGGCGGTGGGCGTCGAGGTTGACTTTGTAGCCGAGCTCGAGGTGGGATTCGCTCGTGGAGGACATGACGCCGTGCAAAGCGTAGATGGCGTGCCAGGCGGGCTGGGAGGAGAGGAGGGCGGCGACGGCGGCGGGATCGGTGAGGTCGGCCTGGACGGCGGTGGTGCGGGAGGGGTCGGGGGAGGCGGGGGAGACGATGTCGGTGAGGGTGAGGTGGTAGTCGGGGGAAGAGGCGAGGAGGGCGGCGGCGAGTTGTTGGGCGACGAAGCCGGCGGCGCCGGTGATGAGGATGTGGCGGGTCATCGTGGTGGTGGTGGTGGTGTGAAGGAGCAAGAGCTTGGGCGCGGAAGAGCGTCCCGGGCTGAGAGTTTTGCCGGGAGGACACATGACACAGAGGCTGGAATAGAAGCACGAAAAGAGATTGAACGACGCGCTCCATTTTGAACTGTGCAGTTCAACGCACCTCAGCGAGACTGTTCTACCACTTCATTGTCCCCAAATTTCGACCGATTTTATTTGAAAACTTGAATGATTTCGTCAGAGAATTTGGACTCGCAGGGGTAGGTTCCAGGAAGAGCGACGTCCACATTGAAGCGTTATCCCGAGCGTAGCAAAACGCCGCTATTTATCGGGGAAAATCCACACCGTCGCGGCGTCGACATGGTGGTGGTATGGGAAAGCACAAACGACGCGAAAGCCACAACAACAAACAGCCGCAATTCGACCGGAACGGCTCGGGACGGCCCCGTTGTCTCTTTTCTTCCTCATCCACCTGGACAGCGACTCGCCGTTGGCCGGTAAGAGTCTCTTCCGCTGCCTGCTGACCATTCGGTGAGAAAATTTGGGAAAACAAAATTGAAAATATTTGTGCATCAAATCCACCGTCTTGGAGTGACTAGACAATTTCCGACCAACACCGGCATTAATGGGGTAGTGGTAACCTGGGTCGTTGCCATAGTACCCTACTGCTTACATGCTCGACCCGCCGGGGGTTCGATTCCCCCTTAATGCACTGTGCTTGTTTAATCACTAAATTTTTGGTTCCACTGTGTGTTACTTAGCTTTTTGCGGAGTCAGACTATCGACTATACCGTTTCGGGCTGAGTACGCGGAATTCCGAAGTGCAAGAAATTCACACTCATAATCGAAAAGACGTGAAACGCTGAGACCGGGAGCCTTAGAGCCACCATCGCGCAAAAATCTTCTGCGGCGGCTGAGCGCTGAGTTCGCAGTTCAAACAGATACTGTAGATTTTGGGTGTTCGGGGCTTGGTTTTCTTTCATTTCGACTCGGAATCTTCGATCCTTTCCCGTTTCCTGCTTTGCATGTTTTTTCCTCTCCCGACGCTTCTGTTGTATTTCACTGCAATATCTTGAAAAATGAGCGGTTGGCTGTCAATGCTTGGCATTGGCGAACTTGAGCTCGAGCTTCATATGCATGCATACCCTCGGCGGAACGCGTTTCCTCTGGGGGTACAAGCCGTTCAGTACGTATACCTGGACCTCCGTGAGTTCTTCTTCATCCGCTTTCCTCTGTCTCTTCCCGGTTCCGTCTTCGTACTCAATTCGAATTTCTACTCATAAATTTGCAATTCAGATGGGGCTACAAGACGAATCCAAACCAACCACCTTCGTTGCAATTCGCGAATTTCCACACCAGTCGCCGGCGAAGCGAAGGATTCGTCGTTGGCGGTTGGGGAGGAGTACTAGTTTGAGGATGTGGGAGACGAGATTTGATTTCGGCAGTGTATGTTCCTCTATGTGCGGTAGATATCGAGGATGGAGATATCGTCGATCGATAATCGTTTTCGAACGAGGAAAGTATACCTCCAAGGAGCGCCGCATGATTCTGTATCCTGATTGAACATCCGAACAAAACTGACACACAAGACAATCCAGTGGAAGTCGTTCGAGTGCTAATACCAAGAAATCGAAGGTTGGGCATTCTGCAGTTCAACACCCCGGTTCCAGCATTAGAACATGAATTATACGTACACAGGAGGTCCTGTTCTAAGTCAGCGGGGACTCGGTCAAGGCAATGCGGAGGGTTGCAAAGAAGGATTAAAACGGCGGTTCGACGATGTTTTCTGTGGGGCTCTCAGAAAACCCGACGTGGGGGATCAGGTTTCACTGCGGGCGTTGAATTCCTAAGAAACTGTTCGAAAGCGAAATATGAAAAATTCAACCCATCGCTATTTCCCATTACACCGACTATACAATACCGTTGTACTTGACCGCCATAAATCTCTCTTCCCTTTCTGTGTCTCTGATTCGCACGTACGCTCAGAAATTCCCCGCAACAGCACCGATAACCGAGAAATCAGCGCATTCGGGGCTGCCGAATGTGATATCGTTGAAGTACGGGCCTTAATTGATTAACGCGGAGTGGTTAGTCGAGGGACGGCAGCATCGAAGGGAGGGGATGGAGGGGGAGAAACTCACCAAGATGGTTCACGACATTGAAGTTGATCAAGCTGTTGCCGGTGGAGCAGTTGATGTTGTCCTGTCCCTCGCACGCAACGAGGTCCTTTTGGTCGCCGTTGATGTGGATTTCTCCGCTGCACGATTGTTAGTTGATGAAGTCAAGTAAGCGAAAGAGTAATAGAGCGGACCTGGAGTGCTGGAATCCGAGCGACTTCGGGGGGACGATGGGGACGGGGTCGTGTTTGTTGGTCACGAAGGTGAGGCCGAGCTATAACATGAAATAATATTGAGTTCTATGTTAGGCAGAGCGAGATGCGGGCAAGAGTAAAAGTGGATGGAAGGCGAGGGAGGGATAAGGGATTAACGAAGCAGGGGGGTGGGGAATGGTAAAAACCAGCGAGACGAGCCAACAACGCACCTTGCTATCAAGGAAATCAGCCCAGGCCTTGTTACCACCACGCGGCATCCCAAAGGTCGTCACAGTAACGTCGACATCGGACCCAACGTTGTCTTTGATGAGGGCGCCGGTCATGGAGGCCAGGGCAGCGCCTGCGCCAATGTGAGTAAATTGATTGGATTGAGGAGGAGGAAGACGAAGGCAAGACGCACCGAGACTGTGTCCCGTAACCAAGACCTTCTTCACACCCGTGCTGGCGAGGCCAGCCTTGACACCCGAGAGAAGACCGTCCGCGGTGCGCTCGAACGTCTCTTGGAAGCCGTCGTGCACTTGGATGTCGGCTGCAAGGTAAATGAAGAAAGTATTTGTCGTTAGTCGCGCATTTATAGGAACGATATAATTATGAGGAGAGGAAGAAGACAGACGTACTGCCTGCGGCTTCGGGGAAACGAGAGGCGTTGAGGGCGACGAGCTTGAATTTCGCGTCGTTGATGATGGAGAGGCTGGATTGGATGATTATGAATTAGCCTGATGTTGCGAAGGGGAAGAAGATGGGAACTGACAATTTGAAGGGATCGGTTCCCTCGTGTGCTACGACGAGAGTCTCTTCCTGAGTGTCGTGGGCAATGAAGTCTGGTATCACACATGAGTAAATTCGTTTTGTAATTACAGCCGAGGATGGACGTACAGAGCGGCACGAGACCCGCGTCTATCGAGAGCTCATGAGCTTCATGAATTCGAAGACCAGAGCGCTGACGCGAACTCACCACCACCGGACTGCAAGAACTTAATCCCCTTCAACTCCTCACACGGCTTTCCACACTTCCACGCCGTGATCTGCTCACTCGGGCAATACGCAACCCTCGAGAACTGAGCCGGGCGGACAAGGTTCTTCGTAATGTCATCGGTCGAGACAGGTGTCGGCTTGTCCGAGGAAGAATCGTCGGAAGTGGAGGGACCAAGGCCGACAGCGGAGGAGATTTTGTCGCCAATGGAAGAGAGGTCGATTCCGAAGAGGGGTTTCGGGGTGGGGAGCGAGAGGACGGAGGGGAGAAGGGGCAGGAGGGCAAGGAAGGCGCGCATTGTTGGTTGGTTTGAAGGGATTGAGTGGTTGGTTGATTAAGAAAAAGGAGAGGGCAAGTACTAAAATGGCGCTGCCAGGGAGAAGTGAAGGGCAAAAGAATGAATGAAGAAGGAAGAAAGAAAGAGAAAGGGACCGGGCAGCGGTGAAGCGGGGAGGGAAAGGGAGAGAGTCCGTTGCTCGTGTGAAGGAAATTTATATACGATCGGCTTGGTATCCTGGCCAACACGCCGCGTGGCGAGAGATCATATATCATCAAACCGGATTTTGGGATGGATGTCGGCGTCGCAGGGATGATTCTTGAAGACGAGTCCGAACCTTTGGGTAAGGTATGCGTCGACCTTTCATTGTCAAAGCGCCAATATTAACGTACACTCAAGACTTCGTCGAGATTCTCGAAGATATTTGAACTGGACCTGAAATGGACTGAAACAGTCAGATAAGGTGGATCTGTCAATCAATTGTTCCGTGTGGGCGTCGTGATTTCCAGCTCTTCCGACTTACCTTTTGGTCGGTTTGTCGGCGTTTCGAGTGGTTCTCTTATGGGTTGCTCCTGGACCGAGGCGCTGAAGGCTAGCAGCAGGTGCCACTCTGATTATTTTTTTTGGATTGGTTGACGATTGGTTGACGAGCAACAAGAGAAGTTAGAAACGATCGACGGAGAGAGTTACCCCGCGGGGCACTGGGGCGTTGGGGATCTTCGAAAAATGAAGCGAAAGGATCAAGAAAGGTTCTTCAGTCGGGCAGTCCCGGTTTCGTCCCTTGTGTGCGGGATTGCTGGCGGTAGACTTGATCTAAGGGCACCTAGACGATGAGCCCTGAATTCGATGGCAAACAGCGACAGGAAGATCAAGGCAGAAGCAGCGGAAAGGCCAAGGTGCTGACGCCAAGGAAGGAACTGGAGCCGCAAATCTCCCACGATCACGGAGCATGATGGCACGTGAGATTCTGTTGAATTTGCGTTTTTATCAAGTTTTTATAATCTGAGAAGACTAATCGGAGAAGCACTCAGATATGAGCCCAATTCTTCAAAGGTCCCGTTTCTAATCTGGTGTCAAGTAAACTGTGTTTGACACGGCTTCTTTGGCTGGAGTTCTTCTCATTCATAAAATTGTTGAAGTTCGCACAAAAAAAGTAAATTCAGATGACCCTTCATGAGTAGTAAGATGATGATACATTCCCTATTTACCCAGACACAGCCCAAGCAACCAAACATTAAAGGGAGCATATCAAACAGGTATCAAAACTACAAGGAGGTTCATTCTGCTTCGATGAACCTCAGCATAGAGAAACAGACATGGTCTAGAAAGCATCCAGAACAGCTCTGAAACCCAACAATTAACCTCCGACTACACAGAGGCAAGTGTAAGTGTTGGTGCCTCTACTTCTGCAGGTTGTGTCTGCTCTGGTTCATCCTGGGCAGAGTGATTCATGATCCTACTCTTTGCTGCGCCTGGTGTGGCTGCCATGGTTGAGCGATTCTCAGCACCTCTCCCAGCCTCACTTCGGTAATCAGGAGGCAGTTCCACCACTTCCTCTGCCTCTGTGATAACAGTAACAGGTGCTTGCCCAGCATCGTGATGGAGCACATATGCTCTGGTAGGTCTAGACCATACAGATGATGAGTGTGAAGGCTGTCGTCGATTTGCTTGCAAGGTCGGAGCAGGGGATGTGAGCTCTGACATGCCACCAGAAGAAACAAGTTGGCTTTGACTGCCAGGGGACACTTGATTGTTGGTAGGGTTGCCAGAGAGGGCATCATCACCAGTCATCCAAGTCGAAGTTGTTTGATCACTGGGTGATTTTTCTTTTTCGGTGTTATATCCTGTCCAGTTGTATGCATCAATGTGAGAATGTTCTTGGTTGGTCTTGCGAGCGAAGAAGCGGACGTAGAGATAACATAAGAGACAAGCAAAAATAGCTGCCCCGAATGCACCTCCAACGCCAGCACCAACAGCTAGATTGTGGGCTTTGGAGGAGGGACTGTGATAGGCAGAAGCAAGTATGGATTAGGTGGAGAATTGATTTGCAGCTCATGACTTACATAGATCCTGGTGCCACTAGAATGTATTGTTGAATAAAACAAACAGATATAAGACAAAAATAGCTCA